TATAATCTTTTCGACCAATGATTTCTGGCATAAACAAAAGTTGATGCTGATCTTTCCGTGCACACAACTCCGCCCATTAAGCGAGCATTTATGACGTGAGTCATTGTACTCGCTGAATACTTTTTGCATTAGTTGTGCAATATTTGCCAATATTGTGCCACTAACTCCGCCTACTTTGGTTTTTCTCTGTGTGAGAGCCAGGTCATATAAAAGCGCCCATCGCCTGCCTCGTCGCTCATCCCATCTCAACCATGGCTGAGGAGAAGAAGACTGCCACTATCAAGCTCTACCGCGACAATGTGCCCCGTATTACCATCACCTACAAAAACAAGAAGGATCTTTACAAGAACTTCCAGAAGAAGCTGAAGCAGCTTAACCTCGACATGGGTGAGGTCTATTGGGCTGACTGGGACAATGACCGCACGGCAATCAAGGGTGCTGAAGACCTGTTCGCTGCCGTCGATAACAACACTAATGTGAGAATGTTCTATCGTCCCAAAGCAAATAAGGAGGTTTTCACGTGCCCGAGCTGTGATGACGAGGATGAGGAAGTAATCAAGGTAGAAGAAAAGCCGGTGGAGAAAGTGACTTACGAATCTGAAGAAAATAGATCTCGCTCGCCGTCTCGTTCGCTATCCCGTGGTCGACATCGCTCTCACTCTCACGACCATCCCCGCCACCGTTCACGATCCTGCGATTATCATAGACGCCACCGATCTCCATCTGGTTCACCATTTCCTCCTCACCACAGAAGACATCGTTCAAGATCTTGTTCATCATCGCCTGATCGCAGACGCGGTCGATCCCGCTCATGCCCCGGACGACGCGGTCACCACCACCATCATGGTCATGGTCATCGTCCACATCCTCCTATGCCTCCTTGCTTCCCTCCATGGTATCCATGGTTCCCGCCATGCCCTCCATTCCATCCACGCCATCACTCCAGAGGAGGACATCATCACGGAAGAGGAAGGAGCCGCAGCTGTGACCGTTTGTGCCAAGAATTCAACAACACGCTGTAAGCACCATGTATATTT